GAACCTTGTCAGTTAGGCAAGATTCATCGGCTTCCTTTTACTCACAAATATGTTTCCTTTTTGCAACCTTTTGAATTAATGTATTCAGATGTTTGGGGCCCATCCCCGTATTTCTCAATAAATGGCGAACGATATTTTGTGTTATTTGTGGATGATTGTAACAAATCCGTATGGATATGATTTTTGTCCCATAAATCTCAAGTTTTTGATACCTTTATTCAATTTCGAACTATGATTCACACTCAATTCAACCGTACCATCAAAAGCTTACAAACCGATTGGGGCGGTGAATATCGGAATGTTTCAAATTTCTTGAACACTCATGGAGTCATCCATCGTGTCTCATGCCCTCACACACATGAGCAAAATGGTGCGGTTGAACGCCGAAATCGCATCATCATTGAAAAAGGCCTTACTCTTTTAGCCCAATCATCTCTTCCACACGAATTTTGGGAACATGCCTTTAAAACTGCTACATACCTTCACAATCGGACCATTACACCTGTTCTAAATTACTTGTCCCCATACCAAAAACTTTACTTTAAGATTCCTGATTATACATCTCTTGAAACTTTTGGGTGCTTATGCTATCCATTCTTACGTCCCTATAATCAACATAAAATCGACTTCCGCTCACTTCCTTGTGTTTTCCTTGGCTACAGCCCCACTCATAAAGGCTGCATGTGCTATCATCCCTCATCCAAAAGACTGTACATTGCCCGACATGTGATCTTCAATGAAGAAATCTTTCCTTATTCACAGCCTTCCAACCCACCAACTTCCAATGTATCTTCTGCCCAGTCCAACTCCGTTGACATTGGCCCAACTCTTGTAGCCCAAATCCCACCCATACCCTCTGGCCCAACTACTACAAATACACCTCCAACTATTCCTCTCCCTAATTCTTCCCCTCCATCTACGGCTCCACCGTCCCCCTCTACAGGCCCTAGGTATCAACAATCCACTATAAGCTCTCGTGCTTGTCAATCTCCTTCTATCCCTTCCCATTTTCGCCAAGCCGAAAACAATCAACATCACATGGTTACAAGAGCTCAAACAAATTCGTTAAAACCTAAGGCTTTCACCTCTGTCTCCACAACCTTGATTCACGAACCCCATAACTTTAGTCTGCCATAAAGCACAAATGTTAGCAAGAGGCTATGCAAATTGAATATGATGCACTTATGAGAAATAAGACATGGTCTCTTGTCCCATGTCCTCCTAATGTCAATCTTGTAGGTTGCAAATGGCTTTTCAGGATAAAGAAACACTCGGATGGCACAATTAAACGATACAAGGCCCGCCTGGTTGCTCAAGGGTTTAGTGAAGAAGAGGGCGTCGATTACTTTGATACCTTCAGTCCGGTCATCAAACCTACAACCATTCGTTTGGTATTATCACTTGCTATTTCTAAGGGTTGGTGTATTCGTCAACTGGACATCAATAATGCGTTTCTCAATGGTGATCTACATGAAGTTGTTTACATGCGACAACCAATAGGCTTTGAAGACCATACAAAACCAATACATGTATGCCGCCTCACTAAAGCTCTTTATGGCCTAAAACAAGCGTCAAGAGTCTGGTTTACCAAACTCAAGTCGTATCTAACCGAGCATGGATTTTGCGCTTGCCACTCAGACACGTCACTCTTCGTGCACAAATCAAGATTGGATGTTATTTACATCCTTGTGTATGTTGACGACCTAATCATCACATGAACAGATGTGCATCTCATACAACGATTCATTCAACAACTACATTCTATATTTGCACTCAAATATTTGGGAGATCTTTCATTATATCTTGGGAATTACAATCACCCGTACTACATTTGGCCTTACACTCAGTCAAGAAGGATACCTTCATGATATTCTTGATCGGAGTCACATGTCATCAGCCACTCCCATCTCCACTCCCGCTGATGCAAATTCTAAGCTTACTCGCTATGGTGACCCATTTGCTGATCCGAAACTTTACAGGCAGGTTGTTGGCTCTCTTCAATACGCCACCATCACTCGCCCAGACATTACTTTTGCGGTCAATTGGGTTTGCCAATATATGCATGCCCCTACTACTCTTCATTGGCAAGCAGTCAAACGGATCTTGCGTTATCTACAAGGCACTATCACTCATTGCTTACACTTCTCTCCAACTAACAAGACTTCTCTTCTAGCTTTCTCGGATGTTGGATGGTTATTTGATGCTGATGATAGTCGATCACAATATGGCTTTGCTATATATCATGGCAAAAATCTCATAAGTTGGACATCCGGCAAACAAAAGGTAGTTGCTCGCTCAAGTACTGAAGCTGAATACAAAGCATTGGCATACACAGCTGCTGAATTAATTTGGCTCAAGCAACTCCTCTTTGAATTTCATGCGCTCATCACTTGTGCTCCTCTACTACTCTGTGACAATGTTGGCATCATCTTCATGACACAAAATCCAGTTATCCGCACCAGATCCAAGCATATTGCCCTTGATTTTTATTTTGTCAAAGAACACGTTAAAGCAAAAGAACTCCACATTAGTCATGTCTCATTCGTTGACCAACACGCGGATATATTTACCAAACCTCTACGCAAAGATCGTTTTCGTTTGTTATGTAACAAGCTCCGAGTTCGTCCCGCACATGAGCTAGCCGGGGGGTAATAACGGTCAAAAATTATTTAACACATGTGTATTCATGTATTCAATTGTAGACTTGGTCTAGTCAAGTTTCTTGAGTAGTGTATCCCGTATATGTAGGTTTCAGTTGTATTCTCTTTGTATAAATACCCCATGTATCTGACGTATTGAATACAGTGAACATACACAATTCTCTGGTGCACCTTTGCTTTATATTGATCATCATTGTTTTCGTTGTTCTTCACCTTGATGGGCATCCGTTGGAGTTTTCAATGGTAAAGAGATAAAAAAAAATCTTTTTCTTCGTTTCGCTTGCACCTCCTCTCTTATCTGTTAATCAATCTAATATTTAAATTCAAAATTTCTGATTTTTGTAGAGAAAGAGAGAGACGGGGAACAAGGGATGAGGACGATGATCGATTTCCTACCGTTTTGGCTTCCAAATTCAAACCTCAACTGTGTTTTCCCCAATCTTATGTTTTTTTTTATCAATTTTGTAGATACAAATCAAGACAATTGTTCCAAATTGACTCATTTCAAAGCCTTTAGAGGGTATTTTTTTTCATCTTTGAACCTTGTGTGCTCTCATTTCATAATTTATATTTCCTGCAAATAACTTAGATATTCATAGAATTTAAACGTTCTTCATATTTTTTTTGCTTTTCTTATTTTATGTTGTTATTTTAATATCATTTTGGTAAATTTAGACCCAGTTGTTGAACTTCATACGGCCTGCACATAACTTAAATGAAAATTGAATGATATATTGATTAAATTGACAAAGGTGGTTACAACATTTGATTTTGCTAATTTTTTCTGTTGTATTTAGAGACAATGAGTCAATAATTATACACCCTTACCTGCATTTGATATCTTAATCAAGGTTCTGGTCTGACACTATCCATCCATGCTACTCTTTTATAAATTCAACTTTTGATGATACCTTCTGTAATTAATCATTATTTACATACCTCACACTAATGTTAAGGCACGCCCTAATATAAAGGCATTTGACAAGGAAGCTCTCTCAGGTAAACAATACAAGGGGATAAGGAGATCATGGTTAAAACAATTGCAAGAGATGTTCTACGCCATTATCTCTTTCGTCACCAATACATATCTTATATAGTTGGGGTCCAAAAGGCACCAGGACTTTTTTTTTTTTTTGAAATATTATCCATTTAAAGTAATTGTCTTGAAACATTTGAGACTTTACCCTTTCTCTAATGCCAATTTGCATATTAAACTGGGAAGATGTTGGTACCCAAAATTAAAATGAATGTATAGTGAAGTTTGAGGTGTGTCTACTTGATTTGCAATGCTTTTTGGGACTGGCCCATTTGAGGAATACATCGGACAGTTTGCGATGGATGTCAAAGTGGAGGCAAAAAGGTGGCAAATAATCAGGTTTTAGTTTGATTTCTTCTCTCCTATTAGTATTACATCAATCAATCTACTATGAAAGTAACTGAATTTTGGTTTTATTTTCAGAAACATGTGAAGAAGGAAACGAAAAAAGAACCTACTCATACTATTACTACTACTTCTAACATTTAAGTTTCATGTTTTAATGGATCAATCATTGGTAAGTGATTCATCAAACCAGAGATGAATTTTTTAATCTTATTATATGTTAGATTTTGGGTCTTAAGAATATCAATATACTTGGATATTTTTTGGACGTGATTGCATTCACTTTCCAAAATCTACGATTTTGACTCTATAGTCTGGGGTATCACGAAATCAAATTTGGGATAATCCAAAGAATTTCAATTTAAAATTCGGGCCACTTCTAAATCAGAAACACGGAAAATACATTGTTGGCTTTGTGTTCTTGAGAGATAGAACAAATAATATATGATTTTCGTGTATGTAATCCAACCCTTTTTCTGGAAGTAGAAAAAGTTTTTATATTAGAGGGAAAGTAGTTAAACGAAAGTTGCATCCTTTTTTGCGTCAAAATTGTTGGTTATTAAGACATAACCAACTTAAGATGATGTCAGTAATAGTTTTCGCGGGAAAATGCATGGCTGGAAAATACATGGCTCTACCCCTTGGACCCCGCTAGAAGCGTTGCCCCTAGACCCCGACAGAGGCTCTGCCCTTGGACCCCGCTGGAGGAGCTGTCCCTAGACCCCGTCAGGGGCGTAGCCCTTTGGAACCTTGCACCCAAGGGCGTCAGGGGCGTAGCCCTTTGGAACCTTGCACCCAAGGGCGCTACCCTCAGACCACCGTATTCTCAAGTTCACATTTATCATTTCGATTTCGATTGTGCACCCCGTACCTCCTATCTCGGTTAGTAAATGGAACTCAATTTATCTCATTTATAAACTTTGTTGTGAGGTTCAAGAACTTGACTGTTCATAAAAGGCTGTGCGTCACTAGTCATACATTTAAAAAGTTGTTCAAGAATTTATTTTACAATGGCAATTGGCATGTCCCAACCCAAGAAGCTCTTCCTTGAGTTGAGCATCACTAATATCAAATACAATCATATTCATATAACTTGATAAGGTAAATTAGTCATGCACTTAAGTTTCATTTCAATTATCTAATTTGTTGGCTTGTTACATAATTAAAAGGTATATAACTTAGCTGATCTCAGGTTATATTTCTGACCTCAAGAGATCTATCTCATGTCGCTGTACAAATATACCCCTACTTTCATTGAGTCAACATTCCTTGCTACTTCTCCTCCATACTCTACCTGATACATCCATAGCATATTAGACAAACTTTCTATGCCTATTTTGTCTTTTGTCTTACTCACATCAATCTAATCCTAATCCAGTGCACATCAAACACAGTATCACAATACAACATGTCATGTCATGCATACAAATACCTCACCCAACAAAGATTACGAGTTTGAACTTGTATAATAAATGTTTTCTTTTTTCTTTTTCTAAAAGACATAATAAAGCGTCCGAAATTTTAGGTATACAAGTACCTCATGCAAAAAGAAGGCAAATCTTGAATCAAGTATTAGCTTTTCCCTTCGAGGGCAGAAAAAAAAAAAGACAAACACACTAACAACTACGACAAATATCATAATTCTTTTTCGGATTTTTACCTCACATGTTTGTTGTATAATATATGGCTTCAAGATTTTCTAGTATTTGAAGAAAGAAGCCCCATTTGTGTAGTAAGCTGTTGCACTTGAGACCTCGAACACTCACTACTTTCTGAAGATTTGCTATCAACTCCATTCATGACATCATCCACCGGGGCCGGGGCCGGGCCCGCGTCCATGTCATCAGCCGTGTCAACCTCCGGGCTCCCCTCAATATACTGCTCCCATGACGGGTCATATGCGGTCAGATATTTCTCCATTTCGGTCAGCAAATTATTGTCCCATTCTACATCCACATCAGGTGAAAACCCCCCAATTTCTAACTGAAGCTTCTCATCCACCATGTTCTGTGTTTCAGGATACAGTTCAGGCACCATTTCTTGCAACTGTGAGAGCTCGGGCAGTTCGGGTAGTTCAGGCAGTTCGGGCAGCTGTTGACCATCCGCTAGCAGACTCTGATTTGTTGCAATGACATTGGAATTTGCTTGTAGAGGTGCGGATAATACACCGGTGACTGATGGTAGATAGGGTTGACCGGAAGCTGGTGGTGGGTTGACTTCTTGAAGGGTTACCCCTGAAGTGAAAGGACCTAAACGTGGAGATGCAGTGTCTAGTTTCATGATCTGTTTAAGCATTGCTTGTGCAGCATCATTCATCATTGGTTGATATTTAACAATCCTTCCATCAGGTGAATTGTCTGAAATGACCCCGTCTTCTTCTTTATACCTTCTTTTTTTATTCCCTTCTGTTATTAATTTTGTGCTTTCGTTTTGTTGTTGTACAAAATGTGCCAAGAATCCTGGACTGTTGACTGCTTTTGCTAAAAATGACATCATTTGTTGTTGTCTTTGTTCCATGCCTTGAAGGCGTTGCACCATTGATTGCATTTGGTTGTCTGTGCTTTGTTGTTGTTGTCTTAATCTCACAAGTTCTTGCATCAGGACATTTTTGTCTCTTTTTAGCCTTTCTACTTCTTCTTCTAGACCGAATTTTCCGACTTCAACACATGCACTCACAGAGGTGGTTTGTTGGTGGGGCTGTGGCGGTGGTTGGTGGTGGCCGGAGGTGGATTTCCGGCGGACGATGGTTTTGAGCAGGTGTTTTTGGCCTCTTAAGAATCCTTCGTTTGCAAATTCCCATCGATCAGGGTCGACTTTTCGAAACCCCTGTTTGAAAACACCTCAAAAGAAAGAATAGAATGAGGATCAAACTATGAAATAGGGTTAAAATATATATAACAGGAGAAAGAGAAATGAAGCCAACATTATCTAATCTTATATTCTTATCTCTGTGATTTAGTTAGTCTTATAGAGGTTCGTGATCTAAGCAAATGGGGAAAAGGAAATAAGAAGCTAAATGATCTCAGTATCTTCAATGTTTCAGAGCTGCTATGGCTTTATACAGATATGACTCCAACTAACAAAAACGTAACCAAAAAGGATTGAGTGCATTTTTCTTCCGATTATGGTATGAAAAAGACAATTGGAAGGTGACAATCTCAGACTAATTCAACCTACAAGATCCACTGAAAATCCAACATAAACACCAGAAGTGCAGACTGATACTCAAGAATATAATCTGACAACCAGTCAACATGAAAGATCAATCTGAAAATGGGGTTTTACATTTCATGATTTGTCTTTCCTGAGACCTCACATCATACGGAAGAGGATGCCATGTTGGTGGTATCTATTTGCCCAATTACAAAGATAAGCATTGATGTTACATAGTGAATGATACTCTGCTTTTTTGTATTACTTTGTACGCTCAGAAATAGTTAGTAATAAGATCTTTGACAACTCTACAGTCTACACATTTCCAGGCAACCAGAATATGAACAGTTGGTCTTTCTTGCCCTAAAATGTTAAATTCTTAACCTAATGGATCATCATACGTGAAAAGTGATTGAAATTTACAAATCTGTTAACATCTAATCACTTACTGCAATTAGAAACATAACCAATCAAATACAGAGCAATCAGAGAATCATGTCAACAGTAACTTGAAATTCAATAGGAAGGGAAACAGGATGATACATAAGTGTTAAGCTGTCGAACAAAGCTGGAGAAGTTATTGTGCTTGAAGTATTTGGGCAAAAGGTCTTTAGCGAACTCGGGCGGGTCCCAGACGACGAAGCTGTTATTCGTAGCACTCCAAGAAACAACCTTATCGGTAGCAGGATCATCCACCATATCGTAAGTCTTGACCAAGAAGGGCGGTGGAGCATTGACACTGGACATCGGAGGCGGTGCAGGCGGTGGAGCAGCAGTACCGCCATCTGGTGCGGATGCGGCAGCATTACTATAACTACGAGCTTCCATGGCGATGGATGTTGTGTCCAATTTAGGGATGTGGTAGCGCCATTAACGGAATTTAAAAACCCTAGATTAAAAATTGTAGTGGAAGTATGGAGAAACTATGGAAAAAGAAAATGATGATTAGATCTTTAGATGGGTCGATGAAAGGGGGACACGGATCGCAAGTTGGATTTGTTTATTAATATCTTTTTGTTATAGACAGATAAATAATGACCTGAAATAACTTGGACCTATTTTCAAGATATCAACCTTCACATCCAAAAGAAACTAAAATTAGGATAAAATTTAGGGATAATATCAAGGTTTACAAAATCAAAATCATTTTCATGTTTGTAAAATCGTGATCGTAAAATCAAATAGAATTTGTAAGATTCTTTGTAAAATCGTGATCGTAAAATCGAATAGAATTTGTAAGATTCTACCAATGAACTATTGCTAGTGCTAATTTTAATTAGTTTTCATTCACATAACCCAAAAAAAAATCTAAAAAACAATGCCAAAAATGAAGAATCTTGTTGTTAATTATCTAACATCAATTATGTACACACTATTCACTTTCCAAACCATCACACTTAATCAAAACTAACATAAAATGCCAAAAACATTATATATACAATATGGCTATTCATTTTCATTTTTTATGAATTATTGGACTATTTTGTTCATATTACTTATGTGTTAAATTGCTAACGGCCGAACCATCATGTTAAAATGAAATAAAAAAATAATAAAAAAATGACGAGTATATTTAGTTATTTGCAAATCACGAAACTATATTTCATGCTTAGTAATTCATTTTTGAAACATCAACAGTTCAACTACACTAATTGTTGTTTTTTGTTTGTTGTTTCCTTTTAGAGTTTTGGAATTATACTCATTTAATTAGAATCAAATGAGAAGGAAAACTGGTCGGAAAAAAAATTAGTGTAGGCAAAATCAGAACGCTTACGACTTTACGATTTCACGATCCGATTTTACGATTCTACTACGATTCTACCTAAAAATGAGTTTGATAAGATCGGAATCGAAATATTGATGTGGGATCGTAGAATCGTGTAATTCTACGATCAAAATCATGTTTTTTAATAACCTTGGATAATATCACTATAGCCTAACAAACTAATCATTTTTTGTTTAAAAGGTACCTCATGTTATTTTTTGGCTTTATAAAGGAATAAACTCGATTTTTATGTGTTAAAAAATGTCAATATTCAAAATATGAAGGGGTTAGCCGGTTATTGGTATCTAATTGCCATCGGATGGTTGTTAAGAGAAAAAAAATCTTAAATTAAAAACAAAAAATAAAAATAAAATTCAAAATCTTGAACATCTTCAATCTCGGCCACCATGGATGTGATAGAGCCTTTGCCAAAGCGTTCTCCTTCACAATTTTTTTTTGAACGGATGAAAGTTATTAGAAAACAAAAACGGCTCTAGCAAGAAACTAGAGGAATTACACTAGAAATGCATTCAGAGGAATTTTGATTCCTAGACTTCTACCAAGAAAAAGAAAGATCCCCGATAGAATCAAAAATCGTCTGTCTTCGGTACTTATTTCCTTCAAAAATCACATCATTTTGATAACACCATAACACCCAAAGCGTAGAAATTATAATGAGATCCACCATTTTCTTCTTACCACTCGATAAAGGCTGCGAATCCAACCACAAAAAAAATCTGAGAGATCGATGTCATAGGCACAAATAACCGGTCTAACCATCTGAAGATATTATGTCATATTTGAGTAGCTAGGTCGCAAAACAGGAACAAATGAGAAGTAGTTTCTGATTCTCCATTACAAAATGGGCAAGTGATCAAAGGAACATTAATTCCTTTATCAACTAGAGATTGTCTAACAGGAAACTGATTTAACATCAACCTCCAAATGAAAATATTGGCTTTTCTGGGCGCAAAAGTGTTGCATCTAGTTTTGGAAACTGAAATAGCAAGGAAAAAGTCAGCAAGAGCTTTCCTAACATCAGCAACCAAGAAGAATTCCATGTTATTCAAACTCCAACTCCACGAATGTGCATGGGAATTAAAGGTAACATTCTCAATCAGAGAGTTCAATTCCATGAGTTGGTAAGATTCTGACCCTCCCCTTATGTCACGCCTCCACTCCCACCACTAACCACCATCATGCCTATGATCTCAGATGAAACAATCTTCATTCAGGTCTAAAGAGAAAAGGTGTGGGAATCTTTGTTTCAGCAACATATTTCCATCCAGATATCATACCAAAAGCAGATTGAGCAACCATCACCAAGAACCCGCATAGTTGTATTATGAGGGATAACACCTGCCACATGAATATAATTAAGCGATTTCAATATCCTGTCCCACACACCCGGACTATGCCCCAAGGAATCACCAAAACGAATCCCACTGTGTTTATTATGGACCGAATTAATGACTTTAACCCACAACGAACCCTTATCAATAAGATATCTTCATTGCCATTTTTGGAGAAGAGCATGATTAAAATTCCCCCGGCTACCAATATCTAAACCTCCTTTATCTTTAGACTCCATAACGAGGTCCCATTTCACCCAAGGAATTTTCTTGACATCAGTAGAACCCCAAAAAGAAACGAGACCTCAAACTCTCCAGATATTTTTTAACAGTAGTTGGCAGAAGGAAAATAGAGAAGAAATAAATCCCTAGAGGGCCTAAAACAGCCTTTAAAAGCATAGATCTCGCTCCAATAGAAAATAAAGGAATTTTCCATTTGGCAAGTCTTTCCTCAAATTTCTGAATAATCAATATCCACCCTGCAACTCTAGCCATGTTCTCAGCAGCAGGAATACCAATGTAAACAAAAGGAAATTTACCTTCCTCAGTTCCTTGCAACGAGTCCCCTCTGCCAATAGATTGACCTTATCCTCATTTACCCCAACCTAAACAGATTAGACTTGTGTAAATTTAGACGAATGCCCGAAGTCAGATGGAAAAAATGAAGAATACGCACCACGTTATCCATATTTTCTTGAGACTAATCACCCCAAAAAAATAACATCATCTGCATAAAATAAATGGGACATAATAAAATTATAGTTGGTTGCCAACTGCAGCTCTAGTAAAAAGATTAGCTTGCATGGCGTCCATGATAGCCACATGTAAACCCTCCATAGCCAAAATAAAAATAAAATGTGAAATGGGATCTCCTTGTCGAACACCTCTTTCCAAAGAAAACTCTTTAGTCGAGCTCCTCTTAACCAAAATAGAACATCTAGAAGTCTGAAGACAAGTACGAATCAACGCACGCCATTTGATGGGTAAACCCATAAAAGACATGATACGATCCAAAAATTACCAACTCAAAGAGTCGTAAGCTTTTTCAAAATCCACTTTAAAAAACATTAACTGTTTCTTTTTCTTTCTATACAATCGATAATCTCATTGAGCATGATCGAACTGTAACATCCTGATTTTCAGGAATAAAATTTAGGGATTTGTGCACTTTAGAAAGTCTACTCGACGAGTTGGAGGCCCCAACCCGTCATGTAGAAACCAAGAAGGGTCGCTTATTCCAGAGAACTTACTCGACGAGTTGGAGCTGATTATGAAAACCTTAATTTTTAGGGTTTGCACCCTATTTAAATATTCTTAAGTCCTCTCTCCAGCCTCCCTTACCACCTTATCGTCCAGAAGCAAACCCTAATCAAGCTAACCTTCCATATTGAGTGTGTGTAAGGCTAAAGAGTGTGTGTTTGGTGCACTTCTTGAAGAACTCGAAGATTAAAGAGCTTGGAACGAGAAGGAGCTTGTAGATCCAACATCTACTCAGTTGTAGCAACCATTTGAAGGTAAAAAGTTGTTACCTTGATCATTCTCTTGTTAGATCTCTCCATTCAAGAGTTTAGGGTCTTTTTAGCCCACTTTGGATCCATTTTTGGAAGTTGGGCATGAATTGAAGTTGTAACTTCAAATCTAGACTCCTCTAGGCCCCCATAGTCATAAAGTTATCGACTTTATCAAGCTTTGGCCCTTCTCCATGCCCTAAACCTATTATCAAGCTTGGTTTTAGCATTTTAGTCTCTTGAAGCCTTGCATGCACGTAAAGTTGGCACCTTTATGTGGTAAGTACACCCTAGGAGGCTAGATCTACAGTTTGGAACATTGGTTTCGCTTAAAAGAGCCTGAATGAGAAAAGGGTTGAAGGAACTCGACGAGTTTGATAAGGGTTTTCCCGCTTTCTGGATTCTGAGTGAACTCGATGAGTTAGTGAGATAACTCGATGAGTTGGTTAAGGTTTACCCGATCTCCTGGACATTACATGGACTCGGCGAGTTGACTCGAGTTTTCATGATTTCTAAGTTCTGAAGGAACTCGACGAGTCAGTAAGTTGCACTCGACGAGTCGGGTCAACATGGACTGTTGACCTTGACCGTTGGCTTTGACTTTGACCAAGATTGACTTCTGAGGGTATTTTGGTAATTTGGGATTTTGATGGAACTAGTCATATGGTGGTTACAGGCGTTTGAGCTTGGAGCTATGATTGGGAGTTGGATATTGTCACTACAGCACTACTTGTGAGGTGAGTTTTCCTCACTATACTCAATGGTCGAAGGCACCAAGGCCGGCCCTTTGGATTGCTATCCTGATTTATTATTAGTGTGATCTGTTAGATCGGTATCCTGGTAGATAGGATGTTTCTATATGGCTATGATCGATTAGATCGGTATCTTGGTAGTTAGGATGTTGCTATGCTTAGTGATATGTAGATCGTTTGACTGTTTGTAGACTGTTATGTGATTATCTGATATATGTGCATATGTTTGATTGGTGGTTGAGGCTTTTTTGCTTTGTGCATGAGCCAACAGACCGGAGCATTCCAACCCAATGGTTGTGGGCCGAGAGTATTCCATCCCGAGGATGATTGGACTCATAGTATGTGGGCATTCCAACCCGATGGTTGAGGGCCGATTATATTCCATCCCGGTGGATGATTGGACCCATAATATGTTGGCATTCCAACCCGATGGTTTAGGGCCAAGGGTATTCCATCCCGATGGATGATTGGACCCATAGTATGTTGGCATTCCAACCCGATGGATGAGGGTCTGGGGTATTCCAATCCGATGGTTGATTGGACCCATAGTATGTTGTTATTTGTATATATGCTACTGTTTGTGTGTTGGTACTTT